CTTCGTTGCTCACTAGCTGGCACTGCGCTCTAGTGGTGTCTTGGTCTTGTCTCGCTGGCTGACTGTAAGTTCATGTAGGATAAACTCTCTCACCCCACCCTGCGCCCGCCCTGAGGCCGGCCAGGAGCTGACTTCCTTGCCGCAGAGCTGTTGGCCCCAGTGTGGTGTCCCCAGCCAACTCATTTCTGCACGATCTTTTCTTGGGATGGAAGTACCCCAGGGGGCTTTGCTCTTTTCAGTAAGGGCAGTGGTCTCTGCAAAAATGACAGCCAAATGGCACCCAGCCAAGTAAATATTTTTTATGAGTTACAACTTCTGGGTAAGTTAGCACATGAGGTACTTCAGGAGCGTGATGGGGCAGGTGGGAAAAGTCAAAGCCAGGTGGGCTCTGGGGAGGCAGGTGTGAGTGGAGGGCTGGGGCTGCGTGAGTTTCTGGGGGGCTGTGGGGAGGGTGGGGAGTATTGACGTGGCGGTGGATTGAGGGAGATTGTGTGAACAATTGGTGTTTCATTTGTGACTTAGAATAGGTAGTGTCCTGTCGTTCGGAACTGACCCTAGCAGAGTGGTTACTGTTCTTTAGCGGTGAAGTTTGTTTCATCTGCAGTCTCTAATTTTTTTTTTTTTTTTTGTGAGGAGATCAGCCCTGTGCTAACATCCGCCAATCCTCCTCTTTTTTTGCTGAGGAAGACGGCCCTGGGCTAACATCTGTGCCCATCTTCCTCCACTTTATATGGGACGCCGCCACAGCATGGCTTGCCAAGCAGTGCGTCGGTGCGCACCCGGGATCCGAACCAGCGAACCCCGGGCCGCCGCAGCGGAGCGCGCGCACTTAACCGCTTTCGCCACCGGGCCGGCCCCTGCAGTCTCTAATTTTAAGCTTAATATTCCATGAATTTCTTGCTTTCAATTCTTGCTGTTCAGAAACATCGCTGAGCGGCCCTGAGACCCCCACCCTCGCCCGAGTGTGTTCCGACTCTGCATGCGTGTGAGGTGCCTGTCCCGCCTCTGCGGCGTGGGCTTCTTCCCTGTAGGGCTGAGGTGGCAGTCTCTCACACTTGACTTCAGAGCGCAGGTCTGACAGATGCGGCAGGTTTGTTTTGCTTGGTGTGTGAGAATGCTGCCTTCTCCCATTTTTTGTTTCCCCAAAAGTTGGAGCTCCCTTGCCAAAGCACATATTGTAACTGTGGTATCTCTCTTCAAGGTCTGGGGCTGCTCTCTTAAACTTGAGTTGTAGGAAGCACCCGGCAGTTCCTTGTACCTTTGTGCTCTGCCGCTGTGCGTATTTGGATCAGTACTAGGTAAGCAGATTCTGTGGCTGGCCCGCCTTCGCGCTAGGGGTGACTCAGAGACATCTGTCCTTCAGACTTGTCCTGTGCAGAGTTAGCCCGTCGGCTTGCACCTGCCGTAGAGTTATATTATTTTGCACTCTACGGTTATGGGTTAGGATTGGAGAAGATGCACCCAGCATATTGTTAAGTGCTTTTTTCTGTTTCCTGGCAGCTCGTGAAAATGTTACCCCTTATATATATATAGACATCTGAGCATGTTTTCAAGTAAAAATTCGCTGATGACCTTGGTTTTCCTCAGCAGCACTGCATATCCTTGTGTCCAGAGCAAAGAATTCCTTGATTTTCCTTTATGTGGAAACTTCCTGGTTATCTCTGTCCGGGGTCTTCACCCTAAAACTTAAGTTCTAGGGAGAACTTGAGAAAGATTGCTTTGTGAACCCAGCTTTAGGAGCTTCTGGATTTTCCTCTGCATCAGTCTTTGCCTCCTTCAGTTCCACTTTCAGGTTTCAGTCCTTCTAGGGCGTTCAGGATTTGAGGCGAGGCCTGGTCCTGCAGGGATAGTGGGAAAAGCTCTGGACTTGGGAGTTCCTGCTGGAGACCAGAGTTCTGGTCCAAGTTCTGTTATCACCCAGCTAGACATGTACTCTCTCGGCCTCACTCTCCTCACCCATGAGTGTCACGTCAAACCCTGGTCTTGAAGGCCCCTCTGAACTCTTTGTGACTTGCTCTGTGTCAGTGAACTGCGTGGAGATGATACCTGGACTCTCACCCATGCAGGACGCCACCTGTGACATGAGCGAGCATTCGGGTCAGACCTAGAATCATGAGTTGGCTGTAAAGGACACATGATGATCTTTTCCTCGTGTCACACTTGTAGGGAGAGTGTGACATGTGATTCCTGCTCCTTGGGTTCCACATGGAAGATGGAGCAGTTATCCTCCCCTTCCCTCGTGCCCTGTTAGACCAGGAAGTGTGTAGTGTAGACACACTAGTGTAGTGGGACAGGGCACCTCTGCTTAGGGGTCCCTCTGCGCCGAGCACTTTCGTCAAGAGTTCCTTCAGGAAGTGGACAGCGCTGGTGGGGAGGCTCATCATGGTGACTGCGTGTGAGCCTCCTCTGACTTCCGAGAGGGGGTCTGACCCCCACAGCAAGAGGGCTCCCGGGCCTCACCCGGGAACACCAGCACGTGCCTGTCCAGCTACCCAGCCCACCTGGAGGATAATAAAGGCTCAAATCGTTTTCACAAGTTGTTTTTAAAGATGTGTTTTAAATTACAAAAGTTAAAAAAGCAAATTAACAAAAATATGCTCAATGCAGGAAACTTAAAACACAGAAAAGCAAAAAAAAAAATTACTCGCTTACAATATTCCTAGGTAACCAAATATTGGTGTATATTTCTAAAATGTTTTCTGTGCCTATGCATATTTTCCGCCCAAAGTGATATCATGCTGCTTTCTTCACCTAATGACATATGATATACCTATTTCCATGTGAATAAAATATTCTTCGCATGGTTTTTACTGGTGGCATAGCATCGCACCATCTAGATGTACTGGTATTTACTAAAACAAATGCCCTGTTATTGGAAGCCATCTCTCAGAATCCGTGACGTTCCTATTCTCAGCAAGTTTGAGGGCTTGTAAACATTATAGCACAGAATCCTAATCTCAGGTAGTCAGGGGTTGTCTTCCAAGACATTCTTGGACCTAAAAGCAGAATCTCAATTCCTTAAGAAACGGCAGTCTCGTGTTATTTTGGCTCCACTGTTGGCTTCAAACAGAAAAGCTTTACACATCTTGCTTGTGGTGTTCTACAAACCCCTACTGATAATTTTAATAATATAGCAGGTCTTAAAAAAAACTGCCTGGTCGAGGAGTCCGAGTTGGATTTTAAGGGAACAGAGAAGGAAGTTGAAGCGCTGACATGGCCGAGGCTAGGGGATTGAGTTTGTGGTGTTGCCCCTAGGTGTGAGCACATTGTATTTCAATTGATGCTTTTCTATGGGGACCATGGGTTAAGGTTTTTCGAAGTTAACCATATCCATCATGGCTGGGATTACATACTTGCCCTCATTTTTTATATGCTGAAGTCCTCCAAAAAAAAAAAATTACTTAGTAGAACATTTGTTATTTACCTTTTTTATAACAAGGTCCTAGTTGAGCAGGAAAACCCTTCATAAAACTCCCTCACCAGGAAATTTCTGGCCTAACTTTATCTAGTTCAAATAGAAGCAAGTTTGAAGAATTGTCTCTTTTGCTTCTCTTTCTCCTTCCTTAATGCCTTCAGCTGGGAAACTACTATATATAACTTTAATAGTTGTCACAGAAGAAGGACCAGCTAACTGAAACAGCATTTAAGATTGAATAGGCGTTTCTTGAATCCAGCAGCCAGTGAAAAGTCAGGAGCTGTAGTCCAGTGAGCCATTGGCTGAGGTAGGAGAAATGGCCTCGCTTCACAGGTTGGCTGAGGATGAGTCTCTGTGGATAAGTGACTGTGTGTTGCCTCCAGTGTATATGTGAGCATCCTTGTTTTTTCTTTCTTTCTTCTCTGACTTGATTAGCTATTAAAGCTAAGGATAGATACCATTGGTTTTTATTGGTGTTGACTAGGTTTCTTTGGAAATTTATTAAAATAATTGAATTCAAAATAGTTTTCATCCTGATGCTGGAAGCTGACTTGAAGACCATTGTGACTTTCCAATAATATTGGTCTTCTCTCTTCCCTTCCCGAACCTAATTTTTTTGTTTTGTTTAACCATTCTTTCCCTATGGAATCAATTTTTTTTAACTGGAGAAACTCTTTCCTGATGGGATTCTGAGTTGTCTGTACCTTACTGACACGCCTCTCCCTTGGAGCCTGTGCCAGGGCAGGGATTACAGCTCGGGACGCCCGCAGGGGAGGGAGGGGAGAGTGAGGAGCTACCCTGACAGAGACAGGGAAGTGTGGGGGACGCTGGGACAGAGTCTTAGTCCCACCTGCAGGGGTTGGTGGGTGCAACGCTCTGGCTGGCTGTGACCTTCATGGGGGCCTGGTGTGGCCAAATGATCTGATTGCTCAAGAGAAGCTGGAAATATGGGTGTTTTTCTTTGTGGTATGTGTTTGAAATATAAAAATCATTATATGTGGGCTCAAATTTAAAAAAAAAAAGGAAAGAAAATGCATGGATCAAAGAAAACACATCCAGTGGCCCAGATTATGCCCACAGATGGCCAATTTGCAGCCTTTGCTCTAAGAATAGATTTTGCCTTTTCAGAAAATAATAATCTTAATTAAGCAGAGTATGTGCATGAGAATTCAGCCAAACAGCTGAGACAGCCTATTTTAATCACCTATAACAGGGAAATCCACTCACTTAACTGTGGGATTCAGATGAGTCAGTGGCAGCACATAACTCTCCTTAGCTACATGTTAGAACTCTGTCCTCCTATTTTGTAGTATCCTGCGTGCAGAGCAAGGTTTTAAAAAGAAAATGGAGTTTTAGGCTAATAGATCTCCAGCCAGGTGGCTAATTTTTATGTATGACTTTTTCAGATTTCTAAATAGCAGTGTTCTCAATTGAACCTAAAAGAACTATTAACACAGTAACTGTGGGGTTTTGCCAGAATCCTTAAATGTGTTAGCAATTTAAGGTTGAAAAAATTGAAGCTTAATCTTGATTCCCCTTAGTTATCAGATGGATACTGATGTATTTTCTTTTGCTTTCTTTAAAGATTTGAACATGGAATTCAATCCTTCAGACCATCCTCGGGCCAGCACAATATTCCTCAGTAAATCTCAGACAGACGGTAGGTTACTAATTTATTTATGTTTCTTTAAAAAAAAAAAATGCTCATGTTGGTAGCTATCGTGAGTCTTATTTTCTACTAGATGTGATTCTCAGAGTAACACTAGAATCCCCTTCAGTGACCCCCAAGTATATTGCTGATGGTGGTTCTTGGAGTTTCTTTCTTTTGTAGTAAGTTATGTTTTTGGAATTTCCTATTTGAAGCAACTCTCCTCATTTTGCCGGTCAGCTGGATTATTTCTCCGTACATGCTGGAGCAGTAGTTTCTACCCTGAGAGTCAGAAATTTTCCTTTAAGAATTGAGATTTGCATAAATTCTCAAAAGATCAGAAGTATTTGTTTTTTTAGACAGTGTGTAAAAGAAAGCAAAATATAATCCTTAAATAAAAGCACTATTATCCCTATTGTGTCATTTCAGAGCTGAATTGAACCTGTGCACTTGGGGTAGTCATTTCCTTTTTGCCAAACTTCTAATCACCGGTTCATTCTGCAGTCTTTGTAATTTGTCCTGGTTGTGTGTGGAATTTCTCCTAGGAGTTTGCTCTCTTTTTAGCCCCTGGCTGGTCTCGCTGTTCCCTGGTCTTGGGCTACAAAAGAGAGATGAAACTTGTACAATACAGTGAACAGGGGTCTTATTACTTGGATTCCTGTAGAAAAGTGTACCAGGAGAAACTTGTTAAATGACGATGTAGTAACCACAGTGTTGTAGTCCACAGCTGGAGTCTTGCGTGATTCTGTCCCTGACTCTTTTGGCAAATTGCTAAGCTCTAGTTGAGAGAAGATCCTAAACTGGCTAGAAAGTAATCAGACATATTTAAGATAGTAAGTTCGTTCGTCAGAACTGATAACTGCTCAGTAATGGTTAGGTACCAGTTTTCACCTGTTAGAATGCTGATGTGATGTTAAGCAGGCCACTGACTTGATTGGAAAGAATTTGGTGCATTTATTAAAAAAATCAGTCTTTCCAAGAGTAAGAATAAGTCATTGTAGGCATCAAATACTTGTGAAGTAAATTTTGAATGTGTTGGGTAAAAAAACCGACAAAAACCATTTTTTTCTGGCCTGGTAAAGTGGGAAGCCATTGGGTGGTAGGATATTGCAAGGGAAGGAAAGTGGTGGTGGTGGTGGGGGATGGGGCTTTGGGACAATGAAAAATGAGAATCAAAAGCAATTTTTTGCACTTAATGACTGTCCTGTGAACACAAGTTACAAGGTCGGCATACTTTCAGGTTTGGTTCTTGCTTCCTGTGAATTCAGCCTCAGACCAACATCACTCAGAAAATGTTCTCACAAGATTCGCATGAAATTGCATTAGGGCCTCTAAGTAGATGACACAGACCTTGATGGTCATGGTGAAAGGAAACTCAGTGATTGTCTGACCTAATGGAGGGATTGCTCCAGAAATGAGTTAGGGAGGTGTATTTTTCCCCTTCACCTTTACTCCAGATCTCATTCCCCCTTCCTCTTCTGGAAGATCAGGGTGCCAATTACTCTGACCCTTCTGTTTATTGCTTCAGTTTCTCCTTAAATGCTGGGTCTTTCCATTCAGCATGTAAACATACTTGAATCTCATGGGTTAAAAACAAGAAAAGGAAAAATAACTAACACCCTCTCCCGTAGGTGCTCCTCTCTACTACTCTGTTCAGTGAAAGCTTCCATACCGTCTCTACTTCTCCCCATTCACTCTTCCATGGAAGCTTCCTCCCCCACCACCATTCCATGGAGTGTGCTAGGAAGGTGGCCAAGGCCATTTTGCCTCCTCGGTTAGCTCTTGACCTCTCATGTGGTTCTTGCTGCCTTTGACAATTCTTTGCTCCTTAAAACTCTTTCTCTTTTGGCTTCCTATCTTCAAACAGGCCAATTTGCTGAAAAGAAGTCCATCTAATGAACAATTTTCTTTATAAATAATTAAAAGAAATAGGTTTAAAAATAGATAAATTTGGTAACTTCAGTGAATTGATTATCAGGGAATTGTCTATTTGGGGAATTGGTCCTGAGAAATCCTCCCTTTCTTTAAGGTCCTTCTCAGACATCTGAATCATCTGAACTTCCTCTCCATTCGTCCCTTTAATGTTAGTATTTTCTAGGGTTCTATGCTTTATCCTCATATCTTTTTGTCTTCACACAGTTCCTCATGGCTTCCATGCCAACTGTAATATCTAGCCAGATTTTTCTTCACAGTGTTCAAAACCTGTATATCCACCTGCCTGCTGGACACCTTGACGATGAAGGCTGTAGGTTCCTCTAACTTAGCCTGTCCCAAACAGAACGTGGTAACTGCAGTTAACCTCCTGCATTTTCTACCCTGCCTAGGTGCCCATGCCAGGGAAGGCCTTGAATTGGCCCAGACTCTTTCCTCCTCCCAGTTCCCACGGGCTGGCACTGACTGGCGCTGGTGCTGGAGCTGGCTGACTGGCTCTCAGGAGCTGATGGGGCACATGTCTGCCCCGCTCCAAGGGCAGTGTGACACCGTGGTGGGAGCTTGAAGTAGCCATGATGGGAGTTTTTACACCATGGAAATTGGTAAATGCTACAAATCAGGACATTCTTTTCTTTCTTCTTTTTTTTTTTAAGGCAGCTGCTAAACATTTATCAGCACACCATTGCATCCAGGTAGTCAGAGATGTGTTAATTTTTACCTCTGAAATACCCCTTGAATCTGACTGCTCTTTCCCATTCCCATGCTGCCACCTAGTTCAGACTCATACTTGCTCCCTTGGATTACTGTAGCAGCCTCTGGGCTGGCCTTTGACCTTATCCCTTCCCAGTGCTCTGTCTGTCTATACTGTTGATAGGTGAAGAGACTTTCTGTAAATCACGTCTGATCGTGTCACTTGCTTACTTAAACTTTTGTGTGTGTGTGTGAGGAAGACTAGCCCTGAGCTAACATCTGTTGCCAATCCTCCTCTTTTTGGTGAGGAAGAGTGGCCCTGGGCTAACATCCGTGCGCGTCTTCCTCTACTTTATATGGGACGCCTGCCACAGCATGGCTTGATAAGCTGTGTGTAGGTCCACGCCCAGGATGCGAACCTGTGAACCCTGGGCCGCCAAAGCAGAGCGCACGAAGTTAACCACTGTGCCACTGGGCCAGCCCCTAAACTTTTTTTTTTGGTGAGGAAGATTGTCCCTGTGCTAACATCTAGTCCCATCTTCCTCTATTTTGTATGTGGGACGCCTGCCACAGTGTGGCTTGATGAGTGGTGTGTAGGTCTGTGCCCAGGATCTGAACCTGCGAACCCCAGGCCACCCAAGTGGGGCATGCAAACTTAACCACTACACCACCGGGCCGTCCCCTTAAACCTTTTTTTCTTTTGGTGAGGAAGATTGGCCCTGAGCTAGCATCTGTTGCCATTCTTCCTCTCTTTTTGCTGAGGAAGATGGGCATCTGTGCCAGTCTGCCTCTGTTTTATGTGTGGGACATCACCACAGCATGGCTTGATGAGCAGCATGTTGGTCTGCACCTGGGATTCGAACCTGTGAACCCTGGGCCGCCAAAGTAGAGCACAGGAACTTAACCACTATACTACTGTACCCTTAAACTTTTTTAATAGCTTCCCAGTTGCCTTGGAATTAAATTCCAAATGCCTTAGCAAGATGTACAAGGCCCTTTGTGATCTACCCGCTGCCTGCCTTCCCAGCCTGCTTTCTTCTTTTATACCTCTTTGCTTCAGCCACCCTGAATCGCTTGGGTTCCTCCAATGTGCCATTTGCCCTGATGTTCCTTTGCATTTACTTGGATTTCCCCTTCCATCTTCCACACAGCTCGTTTCTTCAGTCTTCCAGGCTCATTTCTGCTATCACATCCTCCTTGAGGGTGTGCTTGAGCCCTCAGGTGAGGTTAAGTGGGCCTTGGGTGAGCTCCCGCGGTAGCTGTGAGTGCTTTCTTCACAGTCTGAACCACTGAGGGGCGTTTAAAACTATTTCCTTGTCGGTGTCGGCAATGAGAGGGAGAGGAACGTGTGATATTGGATCTGAGTACTCTCTCTGCCTTGCTCTGCCCGGTACAGAGGATGTGTTCAACCTAGACGGTTCCAAGAAGGAAAATGACAAGGCCAGGAAACATTCTTAATTCAATTGTGATCATTCTTCACTTGGATAAACTTACATTTCCATTGCAAGACCCCCACACTTCTAAGAGTACTAGAACAGTTCAAAATTGTGGCTCCTACCTACCCCTGTTTTTTAATTGGAGGAAATGTTGTAGTGTGAGATAAGACCCACAGCACCTTTTAGATTCCTTTCTTTTGGATCTGGTGTTCTCTTTTTTTCTTCAGATTGACGTACTCCTTCACTAGTTTAGGGATGGGTTTGTGGGTAGGAGGCCATTGTTGGGGTGATGACAGTTATGTTAGGGCAACTACTGCCTGGGACCACAGCCATGTGCTCTCGCGCCTTCGCAGCTCTCTGCTTTCCAGACCCCGCACCCTCTTTCCTTACCCAGCACTCGATGGTCTGACTAACCAGCTCTCTCTGCCATGCTCCCTATCTGCCAACTGTTCGTTATTCTGAGTTAGAGCATACCTGCATTAAGTCATCAGGAATTTCTTGACTGTTAAATTCCTTTTCCCTCGGGTAGCAAAGAGATTTAGGCTGGACTTGGAAACTTTCCCTCAGTGTTCAAAAGGAGACTGGGAACCTGACCATAACAGAATGAGAGTGGAGTGCCTCCCCCGGCTGGCTGAAGGTAGGGGTATTCTGTGAAAGCCAGGCTGACTGCTCTCTCCCTCCTTTCTTCACACAAATGGGATGTCATGCAGAACTTGGTATGAGAGCCCTTCCACACAGAAGGGACCAAGGGCTCCTCAGGGGGCCGGGCAGGGGGTGGTTAGTTCTCTTGGCCTGCCCTGGCTTTCATGCTCTCATTTTTACTTATGGAGGAGAATTGTAGTTTCTACTGTCTTTTCGTTTTCTATCCTATTCTTTTTTTTTTTTTTAAATTTTTTTTTTTTTTAAAGATTTTATTTATTCAGTTTTTTCCCCCCAAAGCCCCAGTAGATAGTT